AAGTGCAGCATCTTGATTATCCTCCTTGTACACATCAGACCAACATTTTGTATGATCTCTTATAAATAAATGTAGGCCCTGCCTTTGGTACTTTGCCTTTCCTTGTTATTGCCACTGATAAGAAGCCTAATATCTCAATACACAATAAACATACAGTCAGTGGCCAGTTGTATTAGGTACACCACCCTGTTTACAAAAATGGTTAGCTCCTACAGACAGTGAGTCACGTGGCTGTGGCTTGCTATATAAAGCAGGCAGACAGGCATTCAGTTACACTTTGATTGAACGTTAGAATGGACAAAACAAGTGACCTAAGTGACTTTGAGCGTGGAATGATCTTCGGTGCCAGGCGCACCAGATCCAACATCTCAGAAACAGCCGGCCTCCTGGGCTTTTCACGCACGACAGTGTCTAGGGTTTACAGAGAATGGTGTGACAAACCAAAAAACATTGAGTTAGCGGCAGTCCTGTTGGCGAAAACAGCTTGTTGATGAGAGGTCGATGGAGAATAGCAAGAATCGTGCAAGCTAAGAGGGCCACAAGCAGGCAAATAACGGCGCAGTACAACAGTGGTGTGCAGAACGGCATCTCGGAACGCACAACTCGTTGGTCCTTGTCACGGATGGGCTATTGCAGCAGACGACCACACCGGGTTCCTCTCCTATCAGCTCCAGTGGGCACGCCATCACCAACATTGGACAATTGAGGAGTGAAAAAACATCACCTGGTCCGACGAATCCCGGTTCCTGTTGCGTCATGGTGATGGCAGAGGCAGAATTTGGCGTAAGCAGTATGAGTCCATGGCCGCATCCTGCCTGGTGCCAACAGTACAGGCTGGTGGCGGTGGTGTAATGGTGTGGAGAATGTTTTCCTGGCACACGTTATGTCCCTTGATACCAATTGAGCAACGTTTCAATGCCCCAAAGAATTCAGGCTGTTCTGGAGGCAAAGGGGGTCCAACCCAGTACTAGATGCGTGTACCTAATAAACTGGCCAGCGAGTGTATTTATCATACAAAAGAGCCCAAACTTCAAGTGATGTTTCAAATGTTTACTCAGCAAAGACGAACCAGCTGAAAACATACATTCAATACAGTGCAGTGTCCATTTATACCCTTAGCTCTCACCCCCTCCCTTCCACAAAGATGTACTTCAGTACTTTTCCATCATCCAGGATTTCTCCGTGCTCATCCGTGCATATCACAGAACTTCTCATCAGTCAGGAGAGGCTTGTAGTTATTGGGAGTCCTAGTCCACTAAATAATTAGACTTCTCATTCACAAAGAGCTTGAACCTAACACTACTTTCAATCTCTAAGGATATATAAAAACAATATTCATAATAATTATATATAAAACAGTAATTTACAATCTATTACCACAATATTATGGTCACTACAGCCAATGGGAACTGATACTGCTGTGGAGCAAAGCTCCAAATCCAACAGTATTGGTATACCCTATTTGGTTGAGTGATAACTTGGGTCATGTTACAGTCATTAGTCACAGTAAGAAGCTTCCTCTTGAGGACTAGATGATAACCAGTCAATGTTCAGGTCACCAGGAAAATAAATGTCTCTGTTAGCATCAGAGATCTTATCTAACATACCACATGTATTCTCCAGATACTGACAACTTGCACTTGGTGGCCTATAGCAGCACCCTAAAATAAGAGGCTTCAGATGAGGCAGTGAACCTGCAACCACAGCACATCTACTTCAAATGTCATGAGATCCTCTCTGAGCTTTACAGGAATATGGCTCTGAATATATAGAGCAACACCTCCCCCGTAGACATTCCTGTCTTTTCTATAGATGTTATATCCTTGTATTCCTACTGCTGTATCATCAAAGGTACGGTCTTAAGTGAGTCTCAGTAAATGGCTAATATATTAATATTATCTAAGATTAGCAAATACTCATCTCATGAACTTTGTTTCTGAGGCTACATATTTATATCAGCTAACTTTAAACCTTTCCTGGGTAGCTTATCTAAAACTGAACAATGATAATAGGTTGTATTTCTAATCATTATATTTCTGATAACAAAGATGTTATACAGTAGAGTAAGGGTGGTTTTGGTTCCAACACCCAGTCATTACAGGATGAATTTCAGAAACCCCAAACCTTAAATTGTTTTAGGCTGAAAGCATGAGAAAGACTAAAATGGTCTACAGACACATCATGTGTATGTACAAATTATGAAACGGACCATAGATGACATGACATTTTATTTAGATAGTGGCCGATAAAACCACCCAAGCACGACACCCATTTATCAAGAATTTCCACATGACAAAAGCACACATTGACTTTCATGTACAAAACAAATGATACAGTATATAAATACTTGGCCATATAAGAGCAGCACTGTAATTGCTCAGTGGCCTTGTGTCCGCCCAGTGTCCGCCCTGAGATTGAAAGGTTGGGAGTTTGATCCCCGGCCACGTCATACAAAAGACTAAGAATGGGACACGAAGCGTCTCTCCTTGGCACTCAGCATTAAGGAGATAGACTAGTGTCCTGTCCAGGGGGGGTATACTTGTACATCAAGCTGCCTCACACTACAGAAACAGGAGATCTGCTCCTATGAGCCGTTCCAGCTAGCTCGTGAAAGGCTACTTACTGAAATCGCTCTGGGTTGCTTGAAATGCAGTGTCCCCTTAAAGTTTTGAAATAGAAAAGCACTCCATTTTCATTTCTGTATTATTCTTAAGAGGGCAAAAATATAAAAATGGCATCCATTTGAGGAGCTCAGGTTTAGCACAAAATCAAATCTATAGGAAAACCGAGAAAAAACAATGACCTTAAAACCCTGTGCTCATTAACAGTGCCTCTCAGATGACACCTTTGTGTGAAACCAAAATTCACTGGAACATTTTAAATCAGTCCAAACAAAGTGAACTGCAAAAGAAAAACTGCAGCCAAAAAACACACTCAACAATGCATAGCCTACAGCAGGGCTCTCCAACCCTGTTCCTGGAGAGCTACCCTCCTGTAGATGTTCACTCCAACCCCAGTTGTAACCAACCCCTGTTATCAACCAGCTAATTATTAGTATCAGGTGTGCTAGATTAGGGTTGGAGTTAAAACCTACAGGACTGTAGCTCTCCAGGAACAGGGTTGGAGAGCCCTGACCTACAGGACTGTAGCTCTCCAGGAACAGGGTTGGAGAGCCCTGGCCTACAGGACTGTAGCTCTCCAGGAACAGGGTTGGAGAGCCCTGGCCTACAGGACTGTAGCTCTCCAGGAACAGGGTTGGAGAGCCCTGGCCTACAGGACTGTAGCTCTCCAGGAACAGGGTTGGAGAGCCCTGGCCTACAGGTTGAAAACAATAGAAAACTGATCAAATGCAAACTGCATGGAAAGGATGATTTCAGTTGAGGTGTATTATGACTAAGAGAGAAAATCTCAGCTACTTTTTGTGTGTTTTGCCGACGTGTAGTACAAGACCGTTAAAGATGCACTATGCAGAAATTCCTGGTTGCTACAATTCGAATAGTTCGCCTAATTTTAGTTATACAAGCAAGTATAGTGTAGATAATCATTGTACCATCTAAGCAGCTGTGGAATACATTTTCCATAACCAAAAATATATTTTCAGCTGGTGTACAAAACCGAAAGTAAAAGACGCAAAAACTAAACTTAAGAACTGGAAGCATAGAAATAGCGCACAAAGAACATATCTACTGCTTCTTAGACTTGCTTTCAATGAAAAACAGATCTATAACTCATATTTCTATGTGAATTTGGTCAGGTTGCCCAAAACGTTACATATTGCAGCTTTAATGTGATCAAACTATCATCTTACAATAAAGATAAACGTGCCGGCAAATAGGAACAAAAACTAGGCGCACATTAGCGGTTCCCACTGGTCAATAGAGAAATGAAAAACCCACAACTCTTTTAAAAAATACAAATGTGTTTGTGTGCAGCGGTCATCACGCAGGCACTGACTGACCAAAGTTTACAATCACACAAGCTGCATAACTAACACACCCTTGACCACATGCAGTTAGCTAAGGAAGCGCTCTGTTAGTCCATGCGCTGGGGCCAACCTCAGAGGGCTGGGAAATATAGTGGGGAATGCCACACGGCACAGAGTTTTGGTGTTTCAGCAATTTAAAATTATTTCAGGTTTGTAAGACATGTCTCTTCCAAGTTGCAAGTTGACCTCTAAGTACCCAGGCCGTTGATATAGAAGACAGAATTAACTACTCTATTTCAACTCTCCTGCTTCAGTTGAATAAAATTGAAAATACTTGTGCAAACCATTTTCTGAAGGCCTCAAGGCTGAAATAAATCTAAGAAACAAACAAACATACAGAATAAAGAAGTTTTACATGAAATAGAAGATTATGTGGTGGTCGGTGGATGGGTCCTTAGTCCTGAACAGAAGGGGTTTGGAATTGATACTCTTGCACTGACCCGTTGGTGGGTGTAAAAATGGAATGCAACTGACAGGGTAGCTGGCCACACCACTGCACTGTGATGGGGGTGCAGCACAGCAGGGCGTCTTACTGGCCCTAAGTTAGTTGGGTTTGCTGATCCGTTTTCCTGCATGGTGTAGGCCAGTGTTTCCCTATGCTAGTCCTTCAGTACCGCCAACAGCACACATTATTGTTGTAGCCCCTGACAAACACACCTCATTCAACTCATTGAGGGCTTGATGATTAGTTGACAAGTTCAATCAGGTGTGCTTGTCCAGGGTTACAATAAAAATGTGTACTGTTGAGGGTACTCGAGGACAGGAGTTGGAACACTGTTCTAGACCAGGGTTTCCCAAACTCAGTCCTTCCTTCCTGCCCCCCCCCCGCACTACACAACTGATTCAAATAATGAAAGCTTGATGAGTTGGTTATTCGAAACAGCTGTGTAGTACTAGGGCAAAAAACTTCATGTGCACCCAGGGAGGGCCCCAGGACCGAGTTTGACAGAGACACAGTTCAGAAGACAGAGATAAGGGCGAACACCCCGTAGAGGAGGGCACAGGGGTATGCCACCAGAAGCTGCTGTCCGTCCATGGCCAGGGCCGAGATGAAGATCTTGGAAGCAGAGAAACTGCACCAGCCAATTATCGTGGCTGCGATGATTATTCCAAACATGCCTCTGAAAAAGGTAAAGAAAAGCAAGTTAGAACAGTTAGTTAAAGGTCGGCATGCCCCCGGATCACCCCAACCACACTACCTTGGCAGAATTTTTTTTGTGGTGGAAAACCTGGATTGATTAAGATAATTGCACTTTAATTCGCCATAAACAAATAAGAGCATGAAAAGTCAAAGGCCCATTATAAAATGATGTTGTGCACCACCTGACACTTACAATCCACCGGTCCGCTCTATATTCTAGTGACAGAGGACCTTACTATATTGGAGCTAACCTCTTCTCAGGCCCATGTTTGTACTTACTGTAAAGACAAGATGACTCCGAAGCTGGCAAGGAGGATCATGGGTAGCAGGCAGTAGCCCAGTACGCTGGCGACACAGCCAAACGACACGCCGGTCATGCTCATTAAGTTGAGGAGGCAGTACATCCCCAGGCAGCCGATGGCACTGATGCCGTACACATAGCCAAACTGGATCTTTCCTGTCTGTAGCAGATAGACAGAGACAGGAACTTGTAGACAACTCATCAGAAATCTGCTTTTACATATAGTCATCTATTCCCAGGACAACCAATCTTATAGCACACGGTAAAATGACAAATACATACTGATCCCGTGTAAGTGTTCAAGTGCTGTACTGCATCAATAGAATAGTTCTTACCAGAAGTAAGGTGGCGCCGAAGGCCAGACAGAACACCATGGGTCCAGCCAGGTCAGTCTCGTTCATAATGTTACCGTCTGCTGCCTTCATGGGGTGGAGTACTGTCAGTGTCTTCTGCCAGATGTGGTCAAAGTTTATGCCTAATTCTGAGGCAAACGCATGAAAGGATATTAAAACAATGTCAGATATAAGACAAAGGGTTGGGTGAGAGTTGGGACCACTCAATCATACAATAGTCTGAAAAAAATCTATATACCCCCTAGAATGAAATACACTTTAAAATTTAAGAGACATTACAAGCAAAGGAAAACTGTATTTTTTTATGACGAGAACACGTGTCTCATTATGACACCAATGGATCAGATGAGTGGAGTGGAAGATGTATGCCTTCCTCCAACATAAGATTATCACCTTACTTGGAGCCATTCACCAGTTTAGCAGGATGGCTCTGGTGACTCCTCCCTGACTGCTGACCCATTTAGTGCACACAGCTGGATAACTGGGCAGCTCTGACTTAACTAGACTTTCCCCTCAGAGGGAATGCAACATGGATCCAGAACAGATCCCACTAAAGATCTAACAGTTCTACAGCTGCACCACTGAGAGCATCTTGACTGGCTGCATCACCGCTTGGTATGGCAACTGCTTGGCATCCGACCGCAAGGCGCTACAGAGGGTAGTGCGTACGGCCCAGTACATCACTCGGGCCGAGCTCCCTGCCATCCAGGACCTCTATACCAGGCGGTGTCAGAAGAAGCCTCTAAAAATTGTCAAAGACTCCTGCCACCCAAGTAAGACTCTTCTCTCTGCTACCACACGGCAAGTGGTACCGATGCACCAAGTCTGGAACCAACAGGACCCTGAACAGCTTCTACCCCCAAGCCATAAGACCACTAAATAGTTAGTTAAATACAGTAGTTAACCAAATAGCTACCTGGAGTATCTACATTGAGCCCCTTTTTGCACCAACTCTTTTGACTCATCACATACGCTGCTGCTACTGTTCATTATCTATCCTGTTGCCTAGTCACTTTACCCATACCTATATTTACATATCTACCTCAATTACCTCGTACCCCTGCACATCGACTCGGTACTGGTACCCCGTGTATATAGACAAGTTATCGTTACTGTATTTATTCCTCATTATTTGTATATTTTTCTCTGCGTTGTTGGTAAGGGCCAGAGTAGTAATTTCACTGTTAGTGACCTGTAGTTTACTAAGCATGTGACATAACATTTGATTTAAAGACATCCGAAACCCATCATAGTGCTCCCCTGACCTCTGCCCACTCTTTCACCTTGTGAAATTCCTGTATTTAATTCCCCCAATTGATCCCAAGTATGAAGGCCTTATGCTCTAGCCCCTATGCACTAGTGTAGGTCTGAGAGGATAGGATCCAATCGAAAATCTCCACCTGGCTTCTGATAGGTCAAGGGGAATTTCTGCCATATTGCTTAGCTAGCCAATCCTCTCAGATCAACAAAGGTGCCTAGGGAGGTGGAGGAAAGGGTTTGATCTGGGATCAAGCAATTGGGTTAGCATTCTTTACCACCCTTTTCCCCTGTGGAGTCTCACCACTGGGTTATCCTTACCCTCCAGCAGCGGGGGCTCGTCGTCAAAGCTGCTGCCATACATGGACTGTGTGGGGGAAGGTGTGAAGGCTGGTGTGGGCTGGTAGATCTGGCCGGTGTAGGGCTGCTGAGGTTGCATCATCCCTGGGGCTGCGTATCCCATTGGCTGGGAGTAGTCATACTGACCATATTGACCCCTGGGTGGAGACATAGGCACACTTCTCAGAACACATCCATGGCTTTGTTAACCTCTTAAGGATTGGACCCTTTTTTTTCAATTTTCACCTAAAATGACATACCCAAATCTAACTGCCTGTAGCTCAGGACCTGAAGCAAGGATATGCATATTCTTGATACCATTTGAAAGGAAACACTGAAGTTTGGGGAATTGTGAATTAATGTAGAACACATTAGATCTGGTAAAAGATAATACAAACAAAAAAAACATGCGTTTGATTAATTTTTTTGTTCCATCATCTTTGCAATGCAAGAGAAAGGCCACAATATAATATTGCGGTTTAGGCACATTTTTGCCACTAGATGGCAGCAGTGTGTGCAAAGTTTCAGATTGATCCAGTGAAGCATTGCAATACTGGACTATTTTGTATCAAGTCTGCCCAAATGTGCCGAATTGGTCAATTGATACATTTTAGAGTACATAACTAGAGAACATACAAAAAGTATATGGTAATACAAAATGTAAGTTTACACACTCCCAGGAATGTCATACATGATAGATCATAAGCTTATTCACTAACTTTCACACATCTAGATGGCCGGGCGGGGTGGTCGTGGAGCCAGAGACAGCAGGGGTTAAAACTGTAGAACCCAGTTCCTACATTTGAATATATAAATTGATTTGATCAAACAAAACTATGCTACATTTTATCTCTGGGACCCTTAGGATGACAAATCAGAGCAAGATTACTGAATGTAAGTACATTATTTACCTTCAGAGGTGAATGTATCAAACCAGTTGCCGTGATACGTTTGTTGTTGTGCACTGTCCTCAAACTATAGCATGGTATTTTTTCACTGTAATAGCTACTGTAAATTGGACAGTGCAGTTAGATTAACAATAATAATTTAACCTTTCTTCCCATATAAGATATGTCTATGTCCTGGAAGGTTTGCTGTTACTTACAACAGTCATGCTAATCACATTAGCGCACGTTAGCTCAACCGTCCCGTATACGGGACACCGATCCCGTAGAGGTTAAACACAAACATGTCATGTCTCAATCTAGTAAGCAACATGGGAACAGAAGTAGAAAAACAGGCCCTTGCGAAAAATCAGAGGGACAAATGAATTGTTTTTCAAATTGTTGACAGGCTTTTCTAATGTGTAGCTATTCTCAGATCACATCGAGTTAGAAAAGTGACAGATCAAATTAACGTTTATTGGTCGCATACACATATTTGCAGATGCTATCGCAGGTGCAGCGAAATGTTTGTGTTTCTAGCGCCAACAGTGCAGTAATAATACCTAGCAATACGCACATAATACCAACAAATCTAAATAAAGAAAAGGAATATCAGAACGAGCAATGTCAGAGTCCAGAATATATATATATTATACACACACACACACACTCAGTGGCCAGTTTATTAGGTACACCCATCTAGTATCGCGTCGGCGCCCCCTTTGCCTCCAGAACAGCCTGAATTCTTCGGGGCATGGAAACGTTGCTCAATTGGTATCAAGAGACCTAACATGTGCCAGGAAAACATTTCCCACACTATATATATATATATAAACTCAGCAAAAAAAGAAACATCCTCACTGTCAACTGCGTTTATTTTCAGCAAACTTAACATGTGTAAATACTTGTATGAACATAACAAGATTCAACAACTGAGACATAAACTGAACAAGTTCCACAGACATGTGACTAACAGAAATTGAATAAGGTGTCCCTGAACAAAGGGGGGTCAAAATCCAAAGTATCAGTCAGTATCTGGTGTGGCCACCAGCTGCATTAAGTACTGCAGTGCATCTCCTCCTCATGGACTGCACCAGATTTGCCAGTTCTTGCTGTGAGATGTTACCCCACTCTTCCACCAAGGCACCTGCAAGTTCCCTGACATTTCTGGGGGGAATGGCCCTAGCCCTCACCCTCCGATCCAACAGGTCCCAGATGTGCTCAATGGGATTGAGATCCAGGCTCTTTGATGGCCATGGCAGAACACTGACATTCCTTTCTTGCAGGAAATCACGCACAGAACGAGCAGTATGGCTGGTGGCATTGTCATGCTGGAGGGTCATGTCAGGATGAGCCTGCAGGAAGGGTACCACATGACGGAGGAGGATGTCTTCCCTGTAACGCACAGCGTTGAGATTGCCTGCAATGACAACAAGCTCAGTCCGATGATGCTGTGACACACCGCCCCAGACCACGACGGACCCTCCACCTCCAAATCGATCCCGGTCCAGAGTACAGGCCTCGGTGTAACGCTCATTCCTTCGACGATAAACGCGAATCCGACCATCACCCCTGGTGAGACAAAACCGCGACTTGTTAGTGAAGCGCACTTTTTGCCAGTCCTGTCTGGTCCAGCGACGGTGGGTTTGTGCCCATAGGCGACGTTGTTGCCGGTGATGTCTGGTGAGGACCTGCCTTACAACAGGCCTACAAGCCCTCAGTCCAGCCTCTCTCAGCCTATTGCGGACAGTCTGAGCACTGATGGAGGGATTGTGCATTCCTGGTGTAACTCCGGCAGTTGTTGTTGCCATTCTGTACCTGTCCCACAGGTGTGATGTTCGGATGTTCCGATCCTGTGCAGGTGTTGTTACACGTGGTCTGCCACTGCGAGGACGATCAGCTGTCCGTCCTGTCTCCCTGTAGCGCTGTCTTAGGCGTCTCAGTACGGACATAGCAATTTATTGCCCTGGCCACATCTGCAGTACTCATGCCTCCTTGCAGCATGCCTAAGGCACGTTCACGCAGATGAGCAGGGACCCTGGGCATCTTTCTTTTGGTGTTTTTTAGAGTCAGTAGAAAGGCCTCTTTAGTGTCCTAAGATTTCATAATTGTGACCTTAATTGCCTACCGTCTGTAAGGTGTTAGTGTCTTAATGACTGTTCCACAGGTGCATGTTCATTAATTGTTTATGGTTCATTGAACAAGCATGGGAAACAGTGTTTAAACCATTTACAATGAAGATCTGTGAAGTTATTTGGATTTTTACAAATGATCTCTGAAAGACAAATCCTGAAAAGGGGACCTTTCTTTTTTTGCAGAGATACATATACACACAGTACCAGTCAAAAGTTTGGACACACCTACTCATTCCAGGGTTTTTCTTTATTTTTACATTGTATAATAATATTGAAGACATCAAAACTATGAAATAACACACATGGAATCATGTAGTAACCCAAAAAGTGTTAATCAAATCAAAATATTTATATTTTATATTCTTCAAATAGCCACCGTTTGCTTTGATGACAGCTTTGCACACTCTTGGCATTATCTCAACCAGCTTCACCTGGAATGCTTTTCCAACAATCTTGAAGGAGTTCCCACATATGCTTAGCACTTGTTGGCTGCTTTTCCGTCACTCTGCTGTCCGACTCATCCCAAACCATCTCAATTGGGTCGAGGTCGGGGGATTGTGGAGGCCAGGTCATCTACTAAAGGACACCAATAAGAAGAAGAGAACTGCAATTGAAGAAACACGAGCAATGGACATTAGGCCGGTGGAAATTTGTCCTTTGGTTCCAACCGCCGTGTCTTTGTGAGACGCGGTGTGGGTGAACGGATGATCTCTGCATGTGTAGTTCCCACCGTAAAGCATGGAAGAGGTGGTGTGATGGTGTGGGGGGCTTTGCTGGTGACACGGTCTGTGATTTATTTAGAATTCAAGGCACACTTAACCAGCATGGATACCACAGCATTCTGCAGCGATACGCCATCCCCTCTGGTCTGGGCTTAGTGGGACTATCATTTGTTTTTCAACAGGACAATGACCCAAAACACCTACAGGCTGTGTAAAGGCTATTTTACCAAGAAGGAGAGTGATGGAGTGCTGCATCAGATATAAAATATATTTTGATTTGTTTAACACTTTTTTGGTTACTACATGTGTTATTTCATAGTTTTGATGTCTTCACTATTATTCTATAATGTATAAAATAGTAAAAATAAAGAAAAACCCTTGAATGAGTAGGTGTCCAAACTTTTGACTGGTACTGTATATGTACATAGTGCAGTCTCTAAGGTGCAGGGTAGAGTACCGGGTGGTAGCTGGCTAGTAACATTGACTTAGGTTCAGGTCAGGGTACTGGGTGGAGGCCGGCTAGTGGTGACTGTTTAACAGTCTGATGGCCTGGAGATAGCTGTTTATCAGTCTCTCGGTTCCAGCTTTGATGCACCTGTACTGTCTCCTTGCAGATGGTAGAGGGATATACAGGCTGTGGCTCATGTGGCAGAGGTCCTTGATGATCTTCTATGCCTTACCTGTGACACTGGGTGCTGTAGATGTCCTGGAGGGCAGGCAGTGTGCCCCCGGTGATGCGTTGGGCTGACCGCACCACCCTCTGGAGAGCCCTGCCCGGTTACAGACAGTACTATTGAGGTAACTGGTGGTGATACAGCCTGACAGGATGCTCTTAATAGTGCATCTGTAGAAGTTTGTGAGGGTCTTAGGGGCAAACCCACATTTCTTCAGCCTCCTGAGGTTAAAGAGGTACTGTTGCGCCTTCTTCACCACACTGTCTGTGTGAAGGGACCATTTCAGGTCATCAGTGATGTGCACACAGAGGAACTTTGAGGGAGAGGTTATTTTCCTTGTAACACTTCTGTCAGGGCTCTCTCCTCCTCCCTGTAGGCTGTCTCATCGTGGTTGGTAATCAGGCCTACAACTGTTGGGTCATCAGCAAACTTGATGATTGAGTTGAAGACGTACGTGGCCACGCAGCCATGGGTGAACAGGTAGTATAGGAGGGGGCTGAGCATGCACCCCTGTGGGGCTCCCGTGTTGAGGATCAGCGTGGCGGAGGTGTTGTTGCCTACCTTCACCACTTGAGGTCGGCCCGTCAGGAAGTACAGGACCAAGTTGCACATGGAGGGGTTCAGACCCAGGACCCTGAGCCTAGTGATGAGCTTGGGAGGGCACTATGGTGTTGAAGGCTGAGCTGAAGTCGAACAGCATTCTTACATAGGTATTTATCTTGTCCAGGTGGGATAGGGCAGTGTGCAGCGCAATGGTGATTGCGTCGTCTGTGGATCTGTTGGGACGGTATGCATATTGTACTAGGTCTAGGATGTCAGGTAAGGCAGCGGTAATATGGTCCTTAACGAGCCTCTCACAGCACTTCATGCTTAATGCACTGTTAACAGGTTGACAAAACTTACTGTTTGTAGGGATCTTCTGTGTTACTGTAGCCATATCCAGCAGGTTGCCCTTGGTCATCTACACTGTAGCTGGACTGGTAGAAATCTGTGTTGAGGTTGTCAAACCCTGACCCTGACATTTCTGACCGTCTGCAAAAAATAAATGGTTCATATGAGCATTGTAAGGCTGGAGGAGGAAATGTTCAACAGTATTCAATAGATGGCATAGCACAGCTTCTTGATGCATAGGTATCTGGCACGTTCTTGTGTGTCTTGTACTTATTCCTGCCCTTCATCCTTTCAAGTAGCTCGCTAACGCTAGCTAAATCAGATTAGCCTAGGGAGATGGCGAACGTTAGCTAGAAACGTAGCATCAAGGGGAACGTCATTCACCAACTTCCAAGACGTTAATCCATCTGAACAGTGACATTAATGTTATACAATCATACCAAACTCTGCAAGCATTTGGGATAATAGCTAGCTGGCTAACTGCTACATAGCCATCTGGCTGTATAGCTAACGGCTAATAATGTAGGTGCAGCGAAGATACTGATAACCAACACCTTTGCCTGGAAACCCAAAGTTGAAATACATTGAATTCTACGTCGGGCAGAAATTAGTGTTTGAATCAGGAAAGTTTCTCTCACATCCTCTACAAGCCAGAATGTTGAATAAAATGATATTTTAACCGGTTGTCCGTGCGGTTGGCTCTTTTGGCGGTAGGAATGTGACAATATCCACAGGAAAGTATAATTACATCAACTTTTTAAAGCCTGGTAGTGCATTTAGATTTCTATCACCTGAAGCATGGCACAATATTAAAATAAATGAATGAGACGCATAGTTGCCGAGCTGGTGCACAAGTTTACATTGTTCTGGCCCCATGTTTCAGGTGTAGAAATCTCAAGACACTACCAGGCTTTGAAAAGTTGATGTAATTATACTTTCCTGTGGATATATTGTCTCACATTCCTACCGCCAAAAGAACCAACCGCACGGACAACCAGTAAAGTACAGTGAGGGAAAAAAGTATTTGATCCCCTGCTGATTTTGTATGTTTGCACACTGACAAAGAAATGATCAGTCTATAATTTTAATGGTAGGTTTATTTGAACAGTGAGACAGAATAACAACAACAAAATCCAGAAAAACACATGTCAAAAATGTTATAAATTGATTTGCATTTTAATGAGGGAAATAAGTATTTGACCCCCTCTCAATCAGAAAGATTTATGGCTCCCAGGTGTCTTTTATACAGGTAACGAGCTGAGATTAGAAGCACACTTAAAGGGAGTGCTCCTAATCTCAGCTTGTTACCTGTATAAAAAGACACCTGTCCACAGAAGCAATCAATCAATCAGATTCCAAACTTTCCACCATGGCCAAGACCAAAGAGCTCTCCAAGGATGTCAGGGACGAGATTGTAGACCTACACAAGGCTGGAATGGGTTACAAGACCATCGCCAAGCAGCTTGGTGAGAAGGTGACAACAGTTGGTGCAATTATTCGCAAATGGAAGAAACACAAAAGAACTGTCAATCTCCCTCGACCTGGGGCTCCATGCAAGATCTCACCTCGTGGAGTTGCAATGATCATGAGAATGGTGAGAAATCAGCCCAGAACTACACGGGAGGATCTTGTCAATGATCTCAAGGCAACTGGGACCATAGTCACCAAAAAAACAATTGGTAACACACTATGCCGTGAAGGACTGAAATCCTGCAGCGCCCGCATGTATATGTGCTCAAGAAGGCACATATACATGCCCATCTGAAGTTTGCCAATGAACATCAGAATGATTCAGAGGAGAACTGGGTGAAAGTGTTGTGGTCAGATGAGACCAAAATGGAGCTCTTTGACATCAACTCAACTCGCTGTGTTTGGAGGAGGAGGAATGCTGCCTATGACCCCAAGAACACCATCCCCATCGTCAAACATGGAGGTGGAAACATTATGCTTTGGGAGTGTTTTTCTGCTAAGGGGACAGGACAACTTCACCGCATCAAAGGGACGATGGACGGGGCCATGTACTGTCAAATCTTGAAAATGGGTCGTGGATGGGTATTCCAGCATGAAAATCACCCAAAACACACAGCCAAGGCAAAAAAGGAGTGGCTCAAGAAGAAGCACATTAAGGTCCTGGAGTGGCCTAGCCAGTCTCCAGACCTTAATCCCATAGAAAATCTGTGGAAGGAGCTGAAGGTTTGAGTTGCCAAACGTCAGCCTCAAAACCTTAATGACTTGGAGAAGATCTGCAAAGAGGAGTGGGACAAAATCCCTCCTGAGATGTGTGCAAACCTGGTGGCCAACTACAAGAAACGTCTGACCTCTGTGATTGCCAACAAGGGTTTTGCCACCAAGTACTAAGTCATGTTTTGCAGAGGGGTCAAATACTTATTTCCCTCATTAAAATGCAAATCAATTTATAACATTTTTGACATGTGTTTTTCTGGATTGTTTTGTTGTTATTCTGTCTCTCACTGTTCAAATAAACCTACCATTAAAATTATAGACTGATGATTTATTTGTCAGTGGGCAAACGTACAAAATCAGCAGGGGATCAAATACTTTTTTCCCTCACTAAGTGAAAATATAATTGTATTCAACATTCTGGCTTGTAGAGGTCATGAGAGGAAATGTTCTTGATTCAAACGCTAATTTCTGCCTGACAAAGAATTCAATGAAATTCAATGTCGGGTTTAAAGGCAACTAACGCCTTAGTCTGTGGTTGGAGGCTTTACTTACTGCTGCTAGATAGGTAGCTAACGGAAATGCAGTACTTGCCAATCTTAGTCTGCATTTACACAGGCAGCCCATTCTGATATTTTTTCCACCAATTCGTCTTTTGACAAATCACATCAGATCTTTTTCAGAGCTGATCTGATTGATCAAAACACCAATTAGTGAAAACAAGATCAGAATTTGGCTGCCTGTGTAAACGTACCCAAGCATAATTAGCTAGCTATATTCAGGATTTCAATGAAAATATAGCTAGCTAACGTTAGTTGTTTAACTACGCAATTCGGCACCTGGCTCGGTACCTAACGGTAAAATTATTGTTGGGTAACATTAGTTAGCTAACTAATTTAGCTAGCCAACCAACACAACAAAGTGCTAACGTTAACTAGTTTGCTAACGACGTCAGCTAGCTAGGTCACAGTTGTTAACGTTAGCTAATAAGCTATCTAATAATGTAGCGCAATATTAGCTACATTAAAACGCTAACTCGTTAGTTTACTAAAACTGTGGTAGCTAGCTAGGCACATTTATTTCAAGTTAGCTAGTTGGCTACTGCCTAGTTTAGACTTAAGAGCAGAAAATCAGGGTGGCTGGTACGTTAGCTAACTAAGCTAGTTTATAGCACAACTAAACCTACTAAATTAATGTGGGCATCGATACAATACTTAATCAAACTATAAATGTGTTTTTTTATGTACCATGGACTTTACAAAGCAATAATAACTGTTTTACCTGCAACGTTGAGCAGTTCAACTCTGGACTCCGCCAACTTAGCTACGTGTCAAGAGAATAATATCAGAGTTTCATCAGCAACACTAAAGCAGTACTTCCGGGTTACGGAATTCTGAACATTTTCAAAATAAAAGTCCCCCACGTAATAGTAGAAAAGTGTCAATAACCTGTATTTATTCATGATATATAAAAACACTATTCATATTTGTTCATATTTAAGTGACATTTGGATTATATTAGGGTTTAAAAACATGTTCCAAGGTCAAATAAATGCCCCCATTGCAAATCACTGTATATGAAATACAAATTAGCTTATAGAGATAAAACTGTTCTAGGTGCTGCAGTAAAAGTATTATAGGGAATACTCAGTAGGGTCTGTAGAATCCATATATGGTGTCATTTCATGGGGCTCTGAATAATGCAGAGTGATGCTGAAATTTTACTCTGCCAATTATATTAGCCACAATGCAAATCATTGTATATGCATTACATATAGGCTTATAGAGAAGGAAATAAAAACAATGTGCAGATGTTAAAGTGGGGTGGGGAGTACTCAGTAGGGTCTGTAGAATATATATATGGTGTCATTTTAGGGGCTCTGAATAATACTTTTACTGTGGTCAAACAGCTTAAAATGGGGTGCCTGGTCATCAGAGTATGTGAGTGGAGTTGAATGGTCAGAAATCCGGCTCATCGCTCATGGTGCTCCACATCCTTTCCAACCCCTCTGCTAAAAACCCGCTCAGCACTCACAGGAAAAAAAACTGCAGCTCCGAATTCGCTCCATTCATTAAAATCACAATTTAACCAACACCCATCTATTTCTGTGACTACCTGGAGCTACCATTTGGTTTTGAAGTATTGAAACCAAACCATATGATTTGAATAAAAAGTATTTTAATAAAAATGAAAAGGTGAATGTAAGAAGCGCTCATCATTTCAAATAGGCTACATGTCTTATTAAACAGCATATAAACACTCTAAATAGGTCAGGAGCCAGACAGGGAGCCTAAGAAGGAACAAAAATGTATTATTTAGGCTATATTATTTCAAGGCTGTAGCCTATATAAAGAATACATTGTGACGCATTTGGGAGTGAGACACCAGGCTGGTAGGGACATAAAGAGCTCAGCATTTAAACAACATTTCGTTGTATTAAATCATTATAGTCTATAAATTGCCCATATAGGCTGTGACTTACTTAGAATTAAATACAAATTAAACTACAAATGTCTTATTAGGCTCAGTGCCTTTGAATTTATTTGGCCAGAGTCTGTGGCTTCAGGCTCATGCGATGGTGCCTGGAGAGCAGGCCAGCAGTGGAGAATATCCTCTCTGCTTGCAGAGCCCTTGGGGATTCTAAACACCCTTCGGGCCACTCTTGCCAGGCTGGACAGAGATGCAGAGTTGTTATTTTTAATTTTTCTACAGGTAGGCCTAAAGGTTTTAAGGCAAAATAACCTAATCAAAACGGAAAGCTCCTTGAAAGTGAGAATATGCCAGGCCTATTGACCCAAAATCAATTATGGCATATTGTACACCACATCAGTCACTGGCTTCATCAATAAGTGCATCGATGATGTTGTCCCCACAGTGACCGTACGTACATACCCCAACCAGAAGCCATGGATTACAGGAAACATCCGCACTGAGCTAAAGGGTAGAGCTG